GGGGATTGATGTGATATTGAAATTTTGATCTCGCTGGAGCTTCTGACGCTCACCATTCTTTTTTCTGCCTCGACAGGTGACAGAATTGGAACTTCTGATGCTTCAGTGTCTGCTAATATGACCTCTGTTGAGTCGATGATGAACAATCATAGCTTGAATTCAGGATACATGCAATCCATGCCTATGGAAAGCTCTCAAATGATGACTAGCCGTCGGTCAAATGCATACTCTACTCAACAGTCAGCAACCATTGATTATCAATCAACTCAACATCCAGAGAATATGAATTTCCAACCACAGCACCTCCAGAACCCACAAGTTCAACATTCATCCCATCATTCAATTCAGCACCGGCAAGTTGCTCAGAGTCAATCTCAACAGAAGAACCAAACGCTAAACCAGCTGCTGATGAAGTGTGATTCTGCCAGTCAACCCCAGGTAGCTTCCGAAGTTAAGCCTTTGATTAAGACAGAGCTTCTTGACGATAGTCAACTGTCAAACCCCTTCCATTTACCTGGCATGAGAAATCAGTTCCAACATAGCTCTCTGGAAGACCTTCCTGGGGCTCCTCAGCTTTTGTCACAGCCATCTGGTCATCCTCAACAAATTGGTGCTAACCCTCAACATGATTTTACCCTTTCCGATAGCATTAAGCCAGATGAATCAACATATCAAGGTGTTCTCAATCAAGTCAACAACAGAATAATCGGGCAAGATTTAGCTCAACCTAATAAATTATCATCAGAAGAATCAGTGATTGGTCGACCCGACTCTTCCCAATTGGGAGAAGGTAGATCCAACAACATTACCCGTGAAAAGCAGTTCAAGAACCAACAGAGATGGCTGTTATTTCTGAGGCATGCCCGTCGGTGCCCGGCTCCAGAAGGGAAATGCTCCGACTCCAACTGCTTCACCGTTCAGAAGCTGTTGAAACACATGGAAAATTGTAATATTTTCCAGTGTATGTACCCCCGTTGCCGAGCTACGAGAGTTTTGGTCAATCATCATAGACGCTGTAGGGATGAGAGCTGCCCTGTTTGCATTCCCGTTAAGAGTTTCGTGCAGGCGCAACTGAAGCAGCTTGCCCGTTCTGATTTTAATCCCGTGATGCCTAGTTCGGTTGATGGCTCTTTTGATCCTCACGATACTGCTGAAATTGGGGGAAGATCAACTGCAGACACTGGCCCGGTTATTACTGAAGTTCCGGAAGAGTTGCAACCTCCGACTAAACGCACCAAATTAGAACAAGGCTCCCAATTTCTTGTCTCCAAGAGTGAATGTTCTGTTGCAATGAATTCTCATCATATGGAGCAGCACCATGATTCACTACCTCCTTTGAGATCTGAAATTGCAGAAGTAAAAATGGAGATTCCTGGAAGCACGGGACATATAAATCCCAAAGATATCGAGATGATAAAGGAGACGAAAGAAGAAGTTTGCATCCGCAGTGCAGAAGTTGATCCTGTAGCACCAAATAACCCTGATGGAGTTGGTGTTCAGGAGGACGTTAAGACAGAAAATGAGATGGATCGGAGTAAGATGGAAATTACTTCCGTACAATCTGAGAATGCAGCCAAGTCGGGGAAGCCGAAGATAAAGGGGGTATCAATGATTGAATTGTTCACCCCTGAACAAGTTCGTCAGCACATTACGGGTCTTAGACAGTGGATAGGCCAGGTCAGTTTTTGTTGTACATGTTTTGATGCTACTAGCTTGATAGTTATGACATTATTTTGCTGTCTCTATATTGGAAATATGCTGCATATTTGTATTAAACAAGAAACTTATCATTAATAGTCTCCTGAAATGTTACCCTATGCAGCTCAGGCCGTATGAAGTTTCATTATAGTCATGAACTACAAAATTGAACTGCAATTATGCAAGAGAGAGAACTCAAAAGCATGATTCCTTCCATTTCTGTTTTTCTTGTTTCGACGTTTTTGGTTATAATAATTTACCAATGCCTTTACCTTCCTTCTCAACTCTCAAGAAGCATGATAACAGATATGCTTGTTAAATGTTTGACACCTCCACCTGATGCCTCTTGCATTTTTTTTTTTTCCACAGAGTAGAGCAAAGGCCGAAAGAAATCAAGCAATGGAGCATTCGATGAATGAAAATTCTTGCCAGTTGTGTGCAGTAGAGAAGCTTACGTTTGAACCTCCTCCTATATATTGTACTCCTTGTGGGGCACGTATCAAAAGAAATGCACCGTATTACACTGTTGGAGCTGGGGAAACTCGTCATTGCTTCTGTATTCCATGCTACAATGATTCTCGCGGAGACACCATCGTGGTAGATGGATCTACTATTCCCAAGTCAAAGGTGGAGAGGAAGAAAAATGATGAGGAGACTGAAGAATGGGTATTTCTCATCTACTGGCAAATGTTCTCTTGTTTATAATAGTACCATCAGATGCTAAATGTTATAATTATTTTTTATTTACTTATTGTTTCATATTGCAGTGGGTCCAATGTGACAAGTGTGAGGCTTGGCAACATCAAATATGTGCGTTATTTAATGGTAGAAGAAACGATGGTGGACAAGCTGAGTATACTTGTCCGAATTGTTATGTAGAAGAAGTTGAGAGAGGCGAACGCATGCCATTACCACATAGTGCTGTTCTTGGAGCGAAGGATTTGCCCAGAACAAATCTCAGTGATCACTTAGAGCAGCGATTATTTGCGAAGCTGAAGCAAGAGAGGCAAGACAGAGCGAGGCTTCAGGGCAAAAATATTGAGGAGGTGATTGAATTATACTTGTTGGTATTATGATAAAACTGTAGGTCTTTCATAATTTGGTAGCTTTATATATTTTTCAGTTTTTTTTTTTTTTTTTTTTTTTTTTTTTTTTTTTTTTTTTTTTTTTTTTATTTTATTTTATTTTATTTTATTTTATTTTATTTTTTTTTTGAAAATTTTGAATTTGGAACTATGATCTACAATTCATAGTCAGCTAGGTAGTGGTATCAAGCATAGTAATAAGCATTAGAACAAATGATGATGTATTTTTTTATTGTATTTACTAGATTATTATGATATCTTTATTTCTATCATCTCAGTTATCCAGATATGCAGCATTCTATGTACATCGTTTTTACCAGTGGGTATTTTTTATGTTTTTCATAAGTTCTGTTTAGGTGTATAAATGTTGTGCTTATTCGTCCAGGTTCCCGGAGCTGAAGCACTTGTTGTACGAGTTGTATCATCAGTCGACAAAAAATTGGATGTTAAACCGCGTTTTCTTGAAATTTTCCGAGAAGAAAATTATCCGACAGAGTTTCAATACAAATCTAAGGCAAGGCTGAAAAAATGAATCAAACACTTATGTTTCCTGTTCTATGTGTACAGTTCATATTTACCTTATAATGTTCAAAGAACTATTACCTGAGTTTCTTTCTGTGTGTTCTCTGGTTGTAGAACTGTAGAAAACAGGTAAAGGCTGCACATAGAAAGTGGTTCAAATAAGGACATCTGTTAATTTGTGAGAATTTTATCCAAATACCATGTGTAGACTTCTTGGACTGGAACTTCAGATTTATGATCTTTATCAATATAACTTTGTTTGGTTTTCTGAATTTGGTCTTCCATTATAATTTTTATTTTTTTTGGTTTCTTTCATGATTCTATCCATTCTACTAATTTATGTAGCCGTTGGCGAAATTTATTGACCGGACATATCAAAGATATAAGCAGAGATTGATTACTTGAAGTTTTCTGTTACACTAGTTTGTGTTTTTTCATGCAAAGAAGCTCGGAAAGGCTAATAATGTTGTGTTTTTTATCGTTGTTAATGGATTTTTTCTGTCACTAATTTGTTATTTGAAAATGAATTTTCAGGTGGTACTATTATTTCAAAGAATTGAAGGTGTTGAAGTATGCTTGTTTGGCATGTACGTGCAAGAATTTGGAACCGACTGTCAGCAGCCAAATCGCCGCAGAGTGTACCTCTCGTACCTGGACTCCGTCAAATATTTCAGACCAGAGATCAAAGCAGTCACAGGGGAGGCTCTTAGAACATTCGTGTACCACGAAATTTTGGTAACTTTTTTCTTTAACTTTTTTCCTACGAAGTTTTTATTCAGCATTCATAGTTCAAGCACCGTAAAATGCATCTGTGTTCAGATTGGTTATTTGGAATATTGCAAAATGCGTGGCTTCACAAGCTGCTACATATGGGCTTGCCCTCCACTGAAGGGTGAAGACTACATCTTATACTGCCACCCAGAAATTCAGAAGACACCAAAATCTGATAAACTTAGGGAGTGGTAAGTTTGAGCATTTTTTAATTTTAGGACTATTAAATACATTTTGGGTGACAATTTAATGTTTTTCCTGGATTCGTTTAAATCTGCTCTAGGTATTTGTCCATGTTACGAAAAGCCTCAAAGGAAAGTGTTGTAGTTGAGCTGACTAATCTATACGAGCATTTCTTTGTCTCTACCGGTGAATGCAAAGCAAAGGTGACTGCAGCTCGGTTGCCGTACTTTGATGGAGATTATTGGCCTGGTGCTGCTGAGGACATTATCTGTCAACTGCAACAAGAAGAGGACGGGCGTAAACCGCACAAAAAGGGAACTATCAAAAAGAGCATCACAAAAAGAGCTCTAAAGGCATCTGGTCAAACTGATCTCTCAGGAAATGCATCCAAAGATCTGATGTTAATGCACAAAGTAAATTTCTTGTCCATTTAGTTCTGTTTTTCTCCCCTTTTCTTTTGCTCGTATGTACTCTAATCTGTGTCTATTTGAGCATCCACAAAAACACAAAATTGAGTTACTATAGTTGATTAAGCTGTTTTATAGAAATTATTTTATTCATTCTTTGTTCTTTATGGTTCTTTTCCGACACTTGTGAAGGTAAACTAATGTGCTGCTATTTCCTATTAGTGGTACTTACGTGAACTTTTATGTTTCATAGCTTGGCGAGACCATCTCCCCAATGAAGGAAGACTTTATCATGGTTCACTTGCAACACTCGTGCTCACACTGTTGCATTCTAATGATTGCTGGGAATCGTTGGGTGTGCAGGCAATGCAAAAAATTTCAACTCTGTGACAAGTAAGCTTTCATTCCTTTTATACTCTACATAAATTTTCGCTCGCTGTCAAGAATTAATCATATGATATTTATTTACTCGCACTTTATTTTGTATTATATGTTGAATAGTAATTCCATTCTTCAAATC